TGCGCCATCTAGTGTCGTTTGTATTAACGCTGTGCGTCTAGGTATCCAATTTTGATGGAGTGGCGTATTATTTTTAAAATTAAATTTGCTGTGACTGCGTTTAAATATTCTTCTACAAAATATTCAGGGTATGTGCCTTTGAATACCATCAGTGGTTTATTTGATGTTATTGATGATCCACCCATGAGGTATGGATTCATAGTCATCTGTAATGATTCTGCGGCATTTGGCATTTGTGGTACATCGTTTTGCATTTGAGTTGGTTGGTAAGAATGCATAGTCCTTAAGTTTTGTATGTGCATTGGTTGTTGATTTTGCATATCTGCTGGATTTTGTGGGTAAATCTTTAAATTATGTGATGGTTGAAATTGTCGCGGTCTTTGTGTTCGATATTGCGGTCTTTGTGTTGTATATGGTGCAAAATTGTGTGGTTGATGATAATCATCATCATCAGATGATAAGTAATTTGTGTGATAAGGTGTTTGCTGTTTATTCCTATTTTGTTGAAAAAATGGGTAATTTTCACTATTATCCTGTGGAGCGTGTGGATTTTCTTGGAAATTTACTGAATTGGTCGATGTATTTGGAAGATTCCAATAATGAGAACATACGTGGTTTAGATTTAGCATATTTTTTCGGGGGGGGGGGGGGTTGATTGTTTTTGACTGATTTACATAATTATAGTTGTGTTCTGCATAAATGTTTCTTGTGAACGTTTTTCGTGTTTTTGACGGTTTTGTCATTGGTCTATATGTCTGATAGTCCATATGCGAGTATTTTGGAGCAACCGAAGGTTAAACGGTTGATTGTAAGGTTACTTGTGGTAGTGTTGTTTTTTTATTTTTCGGTGTTGTGAGGTTTGGACGTATTGGTGAGATACTTTGTTGTGTAGTTGTTACTGTTGTTTGAACTAATTCTTCATTTATGAAGTGTGATGGTGTTTGAATATCTTGTTGTGTAAGATTTCTAGTTCCATTGAGATTTTCATGATGTATAACTGTTGAATTTAAGCTGTTATTTTGTATATCAGGTAAAAATGTATTATAATTTAAAGGTTTTGCATCAATTGTTAGTGGTATTACTTTTACATAATCTTTGTGGAAAGATATTGTACTTTTTGCTTGACTTGAGATATCTGCTGGGAAATTTAAAAATGCTGTTTGAGACCATTCGGGGTCCCAAACGTAATCTGATTATTCTGCAATGACAGTGTCGTCATTGGTACTTTGGGGTCTAAAATTTTTTCTTGCTTGTTCAATTAAATCGATATTATGTGTAAAATAATCAATTGTAAGCCATGCTAGTATTTTTTGTAAATTATGTTTTGTGTTTTGTGAGACATTATTATTGGTAAAATTTTCAAGGATTGCGTTTAAAAATGATGAAAATGCGGCAATTTTGTTTCTCACTTTTGTATGTTTTGATGTTTGGACTGGTGATGTACTTTGAGCTTCTGTTCTTTCTAATATAGATAAATAACTATAGATTATTGCAAAAACTTCGTTGGTGAATATTGAGTTTGCTCTCTGTGAGTTTTGATATTGTATGCTTTTGATATATTCTGTGAATACTTTTGAAAATTCTAAATCAATATCGTCTGTTTGGATAACGTATTTACCACGAAGTGTTCTTGGTGTGCTGAATTCTATGGTGTAGATTCCGTATTGTTGTGTTAGGTTACATATATCTTTCAAACAATGTTCTATAATTTGTCTTTTGATTTTTATATCTGGAAATTCTGATTTGCATGGGCTGATTCCTGGTTCAAACAAATTTACGAGTAAATTTTTGCAAAATTGTGCTTGTCCTCTATCATTGAGTGAATTTATAAAAAGGGAAAAACTGCTTCTTCGTCTGGACTTTCGTCATTTTGAGTGTTGCTCATTTTTTCGTTAGATGACTGTCAATATATAAATATCAATATGTCTAATTGGTTGATTCCAATTGTATATATGTACTGGTTTGTTTTTATATTTCTTTTTTCTTCTATTTTTTCCTCTTTTTGATGAGTTTGAAGTTGTTTCTGAATCGGAAAAATATAACTGATCATGGATTGGGCAGTTTTTGTTTACTGATTCTTTTAATTTCTATAGTGCGTCTAGACTACTGACTTCTGATTCGGAGAATGCATTTTTTTTTTGAAAATCTTTTCCGTGTTATCTGTCTTTGTTTACTTATAATTTTTCATTTTACTGTTTTTCGTTTTGTTCGAGTGTATCCAACTGTTTGTGTATGTGGGGTTATTACAATATCGTATTTTTGGTTGTCTATTTCACAGTTGTGTAATACGATTGTTTGTTTATTTCCTAAATCTTTCAATGACATAAGGTTTAGGATGAGGGATGCAAGAAGTTATTAGTGATTTTAACTTTCCTAGACTGTTAGACCTTACGATTTTTTGGTTAGCTTAACCTGGGTCTTTTTGTTCAGGGTTGGAGAGAAAAGTGTATCAATTCCGGAGAATGATTTTTACTTTCTCGTGGCTAGTCTAAGTTAAGGTGTTAACTTACTTAATCTTACTTAGGGGTAGTGATTGTGTTCAAGGGTTGGAGAATAGTAAATCGATCCACAAGGTTCAGGTATAATTAGAACGCAAGTAGTTCGTTAGATACTATTTTAAACTTACTAAGTTTAAAATTTATCCTGGATCAGGCAAGAGGGGGGTCAATTGAAGGATGAATAACCGAAGTTCTTCACTGTTTAGCCTAATTTGAATGGTTAGCGTGATTAAAAATTTCTATTAGTCCTGGGTCTTTTGAAAAGGTTGGGTAGTGAATCGACGTTTGAGGTCGTTAGACACTTGATAAGTGGGTGGGGGGGAGAACAAAATTGTTCTTTTTGATCCAAGGATAAGCCTTGATGATCAGAATTTAAAATTTAAAAGATAGACAATTGATTTAGATCCAAGCAAAGCCTTGATGATCTGGTTTAAGATTTAAAAAAATGAAGTTAAAATTATCTAAATTTATTTGGTAAAAGGGTTTAATTTTTGGTGATATTAGATGATTTATGATTGCTATTATGTTTAGGTGATGAAGCTGGAACAACAGGATGATTTATATACCTACAATTTTTTGTCATGCTACTAATTTTTTTATTTTTGTTTCAATAAATATTTTTTTAAATATGTTTTATATATTACTGCAGAATTGGAGTGAACGATTTGAGATCTTTTTATCAATCGTTATTGTACAATACTAATTTTATCTAGCGCCTGAAATAATCATTGAAGATTTCCTTCAAGGATCTTATGTTTGCAAATGAAAATCTAAATTCATTGCTAGTAAGATTATAAATATAAAAGTTTGTGTTGGCTTGTGCCGTACGACCATGAAACTAAATGGTAAGTTTCGATGTACTCGTATGTCGTCTCTTGTGCGAGGTCTTTTTCCAATACCGGGTAGTTCTCGTATTGTGCGGAATAGTGGCTCTGATCTTTTGAGTCGTAGAGACATTTCAATTAAGTTATTGTCGTGTAACATTTTGAAAATGTTTTGTCTAATTTCTAATCTATTTTTGGTTAATACTAAGCTATTTTGTTTTTTAAGGTCTTATTCGAGACTTATGGTCGCACCAGATGAGTTAGGTTCGAGGTATAACTCATAGAGTAATTTCGGATAGGGTACACCGTCTGCTCGTCGCGCTATCTTATTTTCGGCCGATAGATTCGTGCAACTTCTTAGTCTAATACCGATCCTAATCTTACTCTTATATCTAATAGTCTCAGGGTGTTTAACTAGTCTCTGCTAGGCTCAATAGATCTAGAGTATACTGGATTATTGCGGCGGCTGAAGTTCTCTTGGAGAGGCAACTAATTTCTAAGTTAAATTCAAATCTCTCTGGTGCTGAAATTACAAGTAATTTCAGCACTTACAAATAAGTGGGTTGTTAGTTAGATGGAATATGATTGTTTAATGTTAAATATTTATAGTGATAAAATATCCAATTTATCCAATAATAAAATGTAGTTTAGATCAGGTTCCAAAATGAATTTGGTCGGCCTAAACAAAGTTCAAATTTTTTCTTTCATTTTTTGAAAATCCGCATCCCCGACCCTCGAGAAACTCCTAGATCCTCCTCTAATTGAAATAACTGTGTCTGGAAGACTGTATGATTCACTGGCCGCGCCTATAGGCTTCAGTATTCTGTTTTTTTTCTTGTGGAACCAGTTCAAAACAAGTTTTTATTTTATACTTTGATCTCACTGTAAAATATTAGTAAGTAACCAATCATGATCCATGACTTAAATCTACGATAGAAATTGAAAGCTGAAACTATTCGTAGTTTCAGTCAGAGAATTAATAATACAGATTGAAATCAGTTGCTTTTTTCTCTCCTCGAACCTCGCAATAAACCAATATATCTCTAGATCTATTGAGACTTTGAAATATAAGATATAAGGGCAAGATTAGGATTGGTACTAGACCAAAGAATTGTACGAACTTATCCAGCCGAGGATAGCGTAACGGACAGACGGTGTACCCTTATCCCAAATTACTCTATGAGAAGGCCAACCCGGGCCTAAACTCACTTCTGTCAGTTGCATTTATTGGGAGTAATCATCCAGTTGCCTCAGTGTCATAAAAAACATGTATTTTCACAATTTTAACATGGAAATTTACATGTTTCTAAATACAGATATGACAAACTAAATGTTCATTTTTAGAGTGTCTTGTATCCAAAAATCATCTTAAATGCATTAACTGATTTAGTTAATTTTTCATCTCAAATTAACAATCTTAACAACTTTTCGCAGTTCGATGAATTGACATACTTCTTTTTACTGACGCATTAAGAGCAAACTTTTTGGCACTGTACCATCAATTATTCGGTCAAGAAAACTGTTGACTTTTTATTTGCCTCAAGCACATTTAAAAAGCGCTTTGAAGTCTTTGGCTATTCCATGCCAGATAAAATGTTATTTTGATGAAAATGTAATTTGTAAGCTTCTACGATTTGCTTAATAAATTATCGGTTTAATCAAAATGCTATTTATGAGCTTTAAAGTTTGACAAGTTGAATAATGGTTTGTCATTTTATTTACTAATCCCAATATGAGAACATTTTCTAGTGTTGTTGTTGTCATTTTCATCTGCAATACTTTTTGGGTTATATTAGCTGATTTCGTTTATAACAATTCAGGCAACCCTAACTGGACATCGGTGACATTTCTTCTACCTCTGGATCCTTCGCTGTATATTTCTGCCAAGCAAAATTCCCACTCTGTTTTTTCCCTCGCGCGAAGTTTTCATCGACGAAGAGGTTTGTCAGCATAACAACTAAGTGCAGTACCTTTTGGCTCATTTGAAACTCGACTTTAGCAAGCTATAACTTTTCGATATTGCTCCTTTTTTGATCACTTTACAAAACTCTTTTCGAACGAACCAAAATTTTGAACTTTTTATGAGAGGGAAAAATTTTCAGCAGGGAGCGGAAAAAAGTAAATACTTTTTAAAAAAATTTCATCTACTTTTTTTGCTCTTAAATAAGTTTAAAAATATTTAAAAATTTTACAACTTAACCCTAACTTGCCATAAAAGAGCAAAAAAAAATCCATAAACTGAAGTTTGTAATGAAAAGTTTTTCTAATTTTGTTCATGCGCGGATAAAAAACCGACAATATGAGAAAAATCTGGAATGAATGAATGTCTTGAGCTCAAAATTAAAGTTACATTGATTTTTTTCATGATACTGAGGGCGTTTGAAAATTGTAATTTGGCTAAATTGGGGAAACTACTTAGCCTAATTGTTGTGATAAACTTATTAAATAGTTTCAGAGAACGAACATGAATGCTGATAACATGAATGATGATAACCTGAATGATGGCAACAACGAATCCCCTGCTCAACAAGATCAAGTGCTGCCAATACTTAAATTCCATGACCAGACTCCCGTTTGTGCACCCGGGAGCAAAAGGCAGGGTGCCGTGCTAAGCCCATGTGGGGAACTTGATGATTCTGACCACTTGAATTCAACGATTGCAAAAAAGATCGAGGACGCAATATCCAAATCCATGCAAAAACTGATGACAAATGTATTGAATGAGGTCAAAAGTCAAATCGAGTCGATCATAAAGTCAACTATTGCCGAAGCAACCACCAAACTGAAGGCAGAAGTGCTCAATATGGTAAAAGGCGAAATCGTCAATGTCGAATGTAGGTCGAATCTTAAAGCGCTATCCGAAGCAGAACTTCTTGAAAGCTACAACAGGAGAGAGAACGTTAAAATATTAGGGATCACTGAAGAAACGAACAATGGAAGAAGAGAAACAATAGACGCTACCATTAAAAACGTCCTAACTGTATCAAATAGTATCAATGCCAATATTACAGAACAAGATATATCAGTTCGCATCGGCTGCCCTCAAGAGGTCCCGGAGTCAAGCCAGTAATAGTTAGATTTACAAGAAGGGTGAAAAAAATCCACTTGCTGCAAAGGAAAAAAGAACTAGCCTCAACTGATCTCTATAACAACGTTAAGATATTCGAAGATTTAACTAAAGCTCGAATGAACTTTTTGAGAATGATGAAGTCAGATACGCGCATTCAATCAGCTTGGACGAGAGAAGGCTCTATCTATTTCTTGTGGAAGGATGATCGAAATGTACACAAAATTCATGGATTGTATGAAGGAGGTGGCACTCTAAAGTACAGTTTCAATAGTGTGATGAGTTGTTTTACTGGTGTTTTCCCGTTTGGCTCGGCTCAATCAGGCTCATAAATCTAAAGCAATTACTCCATCTAAACCCTGCGGTGCTAATAAATTTGAATTACTACTGTCCAATGTTAGGTCTCCTAAAAAGCACCATGAGGATATAGAAGCACTTCTAAGTCTCGAGTATCCAACAATTAATGTACTGTTTTACCGAAACATGGCTAACTGAAACAGACAATGAAAAAATGTTTAGTTTCAAAGGATTTAATACAATTCTTAGCAACAACCGCAAAACAAGAGGTGGAGGAACTATGATACAACTTGGCGAAAATGTAAATTTAATAGAACCATTATCAACTTCTCTTCCCGAATCATTAGCAGCTCTAGTTGAAGTGTTTGGGAATAAAATGATAATATTAGTAGTCTATGTGCCGCCTAGATATGAAAAAAACTTTTTGTCGGTAAATTAGACAAGGAATTGGAATTGTTTAGTCATTACAAAATACCCGTTATTCTAACAGGAGATTTTAACATAAATGTTCTTATAGAAAACAACCTCACGAGATCGTATCTGAATACTATTACTGCAAATGGGTTTGAACTTTTATATAAAAATGAAACTCGCATCACTGGAAAAAATAAAACATGTATTGATCATATGATAGCATGCAATATTCGCAATCCATCTATAAGAACCCTAAAAAATGAATGCTTTTCGGATCATTGCCCAATCATCCTTCAATTTAGTTTGACAGAAAATGAATTATTATCTTCAACGTATCGTGACATGTCCTTTTTAAAAAAGGAGAAATCCCTGAATGACTTTATAATTCTTATAAAAGAAATGCTAGAACAATCTCATGTAGTCAATGAACCCAACATAAATGTTGCTTATGATGCATTTAGTGAATGTTTGCTTTCAAGCATTAATATATTTGCACCGATAAAAAATTCAAAAGTCAAACGTACAAATGTTAACGCGCCGTGGTTTTGTAAAGAATTGAAAAAGGCAATTTTAAAAAGGAACAAACTACACAAAATTTGGAAACTTGATGTTAGCAATATTGAAAATAAAAATAATTTCCACAATAAAAGGAAAAACGTTGAAATAATGATTTGAAAACTAAAAAAAGAGTATTACTTTAAAAGATTTAACAATTGTATCGGAGACTCGAGACAGGTATTTAAGTTGTTAAATGAAATAAACGGTAAACCAAAAGGAAGTTCAAAGGTACCCACCATACAGTTAGAAGGGACTAATGTTTGTGATCCGCACACCATATCCAATGCTTTCAACGACTACTTTGCTACAATTGGATTAAAGCTTGCCAAAAAAAAATTGCCTGTGGCAATAAAGTCGCCCAAACTGAAAGTGTGACTCATTCTATATACCTTTTTGAATGCTCTTTTGTTGAAATTTTAGACACTATTAATAGCTTGAAACCGACAAATTCTTGTGGCATGGATGAAATAAGTAACATGTTCCTCATTAAAACCTGTTTTGTTCTAGCTCCCTACTTAACTTATCTAATTAACTTATCATTTAGAAGTGGCACCTTTCCTCAGGCGCTGAAATATGCCAAAGTTATGCCTCTGCATAAATCTGAAAGCAAATTGGATATTAGCAGTTACCGTCCAATAGCACTCTTAAATAGCTGTGGCAAAATTTTCGAGAAAATCATGCACTCTAGGTTGTATAATTACCTTTAATATATTATATTATTATTATATATTACCTTTAATTTAATATTATTTACGAAGGACAATTTGGTTTCCGGCAAAATTTTGCAACCATTGATGCGTTAGCTGAATTAACTGAAAGATTCAGAATGTGTAGAGACAAGAAAATTAAATGCAGCCTATTTGTTGACTTGAAGAAAGCATTTGACACTCTGGATATGAAAAATCTTTTGAGTAAATTGGAAAATTATGGTATCCGGGGTAATTGTCTCGCTTGGTTTAACAGTTACTTAAACAACAGATTTCAATGGGTTCAAATAAATGACTATTCATCGGATTGGTTGCCAGTGACCACCGGTGTTCCCCAGGGATCTGTTTTAGGTCCCCTTCTCTTTTTGGTGTATATAAATGATTTGCACTTTGCTGCATCTAGCTCAAAAATTTTTCTGTTTGCGGATGATACCAACATAGCCTGTAATAGCGCACGGTTTGAATGTTTCCAAGATGATGTCACAAAGATATCAGAATGGATGAATTTAAATAAACTAACAATTAATTCAGATAAAACCACCTTAATTAGTTTTGATAATGGAAGTGCTTCTAACCTTAAAATTGAAATTGATAATATTGCGTATAATCCTCAGTCAGCATGTAAGTATTTAGGAGTAATAGTTGATTGTAAGTTAACATTCACTCAGCACATTGAAAAATTGAAAATTAAACTAGGTAGACATTGTGGTGTTGTTTCAAAAATGAGGTATTTGGTTCCAAAATGTGTTTTGTTGAAATATTATAATGCTAACATTAAACCAATTATACAAAATGGCTTGCTCGTATATGGCGGAACTAGCTTTGCAGCGCTCAATCAAATTCATTTGTTTCAAAGAAAAATCATAAGAATGATTTTTTTCAAAAGAAAATATGACAGCATTATCAGTACTTTTTATGATAATAAAATTTTAACAGTACATGAACTGTATATTTATGATCTACTCAAGTTCTGTTTGAGATCTGCTCATAATAGAAATCCAAATCCATATCTTAATTCGTTGTTTACACTGAAAAACTTTGCATACAATACTAGAAAATCGAGTTCTATTACCTTTTGTCCTCCTTTTTGCAAGAATAGAACTAAATTACAGTCATTAACATACAGAGGTTCAAGACTCTTAAATATTTTGGGTGAGAATAGCTTGTTGCCGAAGAGCTTTGGCCTTGTGGAAAGAAATGATGAAATTGTATTTGTTCATAAGTTTAGAGATAACTACATTCTTGGTAATTATGAATTAGTACAAAATGTGTTTAAATAATTTCCCGTTTCTGTTTAATGCTAAATATTTAACCCTTGAGTTGGGTGCTATCAGAAACCCTTTTTAGCTTCGGATTCTAATGCGAAAATATGAGCATCTAAAACTTGCTAGTTTTCGAGATATCGACATTTTTATGAAAATTTTGATTTTCTCATAAACTTAGACGGATTTGAGAGAGAAAAATTTTTTTTTCTCAATACGTCTGTCACTGGATGCTGTCAGAACCTCGTATGAGGCTCTGAATACTGGCTGAAAAGATGATGAGCTTCTAAGACTTTGGAAATTTCGAGATACCAGGGTTTTTGAAGAACATAACAAAGGCACAATTGCAACACCATAACACAAAAGGTAACACTTAAATTTAGGCTCTTCTAATTTTATTTACATATACTTGTCTTCAGTTCACTTATACTTGTCTTCAGTTCTTGTTTGTTATTATACTCAGGGTAGACACCCAGTGGTCATATCTTTGACCTTTGTCTATCCTCTTCAGATGATTAATTGATGCTTTGTAGATTTTGTTCGCATGTTTGATTGTTAAATGTTTTTGTATGCATCATATCTGAAGAAATAAATTCTTTCTTTCTTTTTTTCTTTCGCGTTTCTTACCAGTGATCAATTAAAGTGTAGCCTGTGCGTCAAATTAAAACATTTCAAACTGAATCGAGCCAATTAGCTATTCTAAATACCTTGTTGTTCCGACTTTTGAAGAAATGCAACCTTCAATTTATTCATTCAACTTTCAGCCATCAAAATAATACTTTTTACTAACAAAAATTTATAGTCCAATGAAGATATTGACTATATGGTTTCAAAAAATACTCTTTAGCAACAACTTTTTGATGCCAATCACCGGGTAATCAGAACATTCAGGGCTTTGCACTGATATATAAGCAGTCTTGATACCAGATTAGAATCAATCCAAATTTTGTTTTATTTTTTTTGGCAAATTTATGTGGTAGTATTTTATCTTTTCAAAATCTGCATTTTTGTTCCGACTATTGAAAAAAGGGAGATACTTTGTATTCGGGTGTGGTTTATTTATTTTTTGTTTTGCAAAATCAGCTACCACAAACAATTATCAGAGTGAGTTGAGTGATATATCATTTTACAGCTTCGTCGTGGTTTGGACGAGATTTTACTTACTTTGTAGTGGTTCGGACGAGATTAAAACTACTCTAAAAAATTTTTCCCAGTGTCGAGAATAACCGGTTTGAAGTTTTTTAATTTTAGTCATAATTCGATCATTTAAATTGAGCGAGCAGGCTTACAATAGCTTATTTATGCATAATTTAAGCCGTAAAACTTAAAATTAGTCGACTGAATTTTTTTTTGAGTGTTACCCGTGGCATTTTAGAAATTGGAAAGTTCAACAACTCGAAAAAAAATTCTGACAAAAAATTGAATTTTTTGAAATATTTTTTTTCTAAAATTTTTTTTCAAAAACTGCTACTCAATTTGCTTAATTCATTCACTATGTATTTTGAAATTGCCGAAGTGCTAGTTTTTTGTTGAGTTTTTTTCACAACCCAGAAAAAAAACAAAAATTTGAAAAAAAAAAATTTTTTTTTGTATTTTTAAGATTATGGTTGGAACTTTATGTGCTATTTGCACTGTAACTGTTATCCTTGTTTCATTAAAGCAATGTCATGGTATACTTTGAGTAACCAACTTTTTTGGTCATTTGTCCCAAGAAAAGAGTTTCAAGTATCGTTTTTTCCCCATTTTGACATTGATTTTTTTCAGGTTCTGTTAAATAGTTCAGTCACTCTCGAAGGTACTCTTTTTGGGTAACGATGCGTAACTCAGGGAAAACTTGTAAAAAGTTGAGTGTTGTGTCAGATGTAGACGTAGTTGGTATCTCAAAAAGCAATTATAATTTTTTTGCAGAGCAGAGAACTCACTTTTGGTGTTCAAACTCAAAATACCAATTTCCAAATATGGTAGGGGCTGAGAAAAACACATGTCTACAAATCTTAAAAGGTTTTCGTCCTTTTTTAAGGTAAATCAAGTTTTCCAAATTTTAAACTTGAGCTTTATTTTCTCTTTTCTCTAGCTATCAAATTGTTTTGTTTGTTTTTTAAATTTTGGTGTATTTAAAATTTTATTGAGTTAAAATTAAAATTTTGAGAACAAAAATGAAAAATATTTGTTCCGATGAAATTCTAAGAAAGGTTTTATCACTTTTTTTTCTAAATTAACCAAAACTCTACACAGAGGCTGGCTTAGCAGACCTTCGCATATAGAAAAAAAAAGTTTCATTTTATTTTGAAAGAGTCGAATCGACAATCACGAGATCATTTCACCCTAATTACTCGGCGTTAACACAAGGAGGGGCGATCAAATCTTTTACGAATTGTAAAAATAATATTTAAAAAAAAATTCATTTTTTGATGATTTTGCTTCGTAGGTTATTCGACTTTGCACAAACACCATAAAAAGGCAACAGCAAAAATCACACTCACATTTGGAACAGAATTTACGATGCCGACACATTTTGGATGCCGGCACATTTCGCAATCATTGCAAAAATGTGAGCCGAAAAAACATTGAACGTTTTATGCCTCCTCCCTATACTCACGGACGAGCAAAAAATTTTTGCCTAATGAACCGCCTAGTATACGGCATTGAAAAAGGAAAGTCCACTCAGCATGACAGATTTGAAACCTATGACAAACGGATTTTATTAAAATGTTTCTATTTCTCCTATTAAAAAACAATTGCTCCCGCAAGTGTAATATAAACAACGAAATAAGGCTTAAACTCAAAAAAAAAACAGGTTTTTCTCGACTATGAGACAAATTTTTTAGATTTTTTCAATGTCGTTCGAATCACAACTGAAAAGGTTTTTGTATGATGTATCATTCGACCCGTTCCGTTAATAAAAACAACTTAAAATTTCGGTATATTTGACAATCACAGCAAAGTAGAACAATTAGGCATCAGGTTTCGACAAAAATGACAAAAAAAATCATAAAGTAAAAATTCAGAAAATGCCGCTTGAAACTTCAAAAAACTTAATGAAAAAAAACAAGGGTTTCAAGGCTTATCCTTTTTCTTGCTTTTTCTTGCTTTAATGGAAAATTGCTTTATTTTTGCGAAATTAGACTAAAATTGAAAAATTCTAACTAATGTTTCTCGACAGTGGGACATTTTTTCCAAACATTTATTGTTGTTCAAATCACGACTGAACGGGCTTTTATATTATATATCACTAGGCCCATTCAAATAATAATCAGTGGACTCATTCTGGTTCCTGATTTTCAATGCACCCATTCAAATAATAATCACTTCACCCCTAATTTTGAATCCTGATTTTGTGTGGAAAACCAAAAAAAACTGAAACACACCCAAATACAAACTTTTTACCCATTTTCGTTTCCCCATTTACAAAAATGGAAACAAAATTTGTGTTGATAATTTTTAGAATCAACAAAAAACACAAATTTTATGATCATAAACGAGCATGCACAATAAAAGTCTGTTTTTGTGCCGACTTTCGGTGAAAGTCAGGAGTACAAAGGCTTAGAGTGGTTTTTTATTCACGCCATTTATTTTTATTTGGGTGCTCAATCCTTGAAACTTCATGGGCCATGCCTGCTCACACATCACTATATTAGCGTGACTGCCTGTGTTCGATTTGAAGCAAGTCTATTAAAACTGATAGCTTTTTAATTGATGCTGAAAGTTGAACGCGAATCCTGTATCCAACTTTTTTCGATTTTAATCGATTAGAATCCCTTTGTTTGCCGTTTTTGTCCACGACCTTCCATCTAAATTGCTCAGATTTTATGTGTTTCCTGGACGCTTTTTAATGCGAAAATGGAAAATTGGTTTTAGGAGTCGTCAAATCAATTTAAATTTTGGTTCTTTATTTTTCCATTTCTTCTCGAATAGATTTGTTTTATGATGCGCATTTAGTTTTTTGACCCGAAAAAATCAGCAAATTGTTTTGTTTAGAAGAGTTATTTTCACCTACCGCGGGAACATTTCAGCTACAATGAAAATATATAATTGAAACCTTTATTTAGTGTGAAAAATTTGTATTCAGATGAACTAAAATGTGACAAGACGTCTCTTTTTTTTAGAGGTTTATTATTGACAGAAAAGTAATAACCCATACGAAAGTAGCGGAACATTTGTGCTTGCTCAGGGTGTTTTTTTTCTCCAAGCAACCTTCGACTTTTTAGCTCGCCTTTCTTGACGAAATTTTTAAAAATCAACCGAAAAGTGTTGCTGTTCTGAGCTCAAATTTTGAAAGATAAACCACTTTTGATTAGTTTTTGTAACGCTATGGGGGTTTAAATGTTGCCAGTTTGGTCAATTTGGGACAATTAATGCGTGATATATTTCGCGTTATTAACGCTTAAGCGGAGATTTAATCCGTCTTAGATATCGTTCCAAATTAATTGAAGCAGGCTTTTTGCCATAATTGATACCTTAACAAGAGCGAAATTTGTCATTTTGAGTTGTATATGGCGTGAAAATTTGTAATAATTATCAGTTTTTTATGCGAAGGCTTCTTCGAAGACCTAAAAAGCGTTTGGAAAAATCAAGACTGCCTGATACGAGCAGTCTTGTTGTTCCGATTTTCCTAACGAAAGTAACAGAATATTTGTGCTCGGGTGGTTTTTTCTTCTTCAGACAAGTTTTGACGTTTTAACTAGCATTTTTTGACGGAATTGTTTTTATCATTCAAAAATTATTGTTGTCCTGATTTTAAATTTGAAAAGATAGTTTACCAGTGCTCGTATTTTTTGTTACGTTATGAGGATTTCAAAGTTGCCATTTTGGCTAATTTGGGACAATTAACGCGCGATACATTTCGTGCTAATAACGCGTAAGCGGAGATTTAATCCGTCTTAGAAATTGTTCCAAATTGGTTGAAGGAACCTTTTTTGCCAGAATTGATTTGTTACTAGGAGCGAATTTTTTCGCTTTGTATTTTATTTGGCGTGTGGGGGTATGATTTTCACAAAAGTCTCAAATTTTATGAAAAAATCCTTTCAATTTATTTTTTTTTCATGATATTACTGCTCCAAAGACTTTAAAAGGCAGTCGGAACAATCAGGATTTTGCCCTGTTAGGAGCAGTCTCGTTAACTCTTATAAATTGATATTATCAGCCTTCAAGCAGCTAAAGGGCAATCGGAACAATCAGGGCTTTGCCCTGAAACGACCAGTACTTTTTATTACAGTTTTTACTTATCATCAATTTTAGGAAACGCGATTGATTTGAATGACAATTATTACGGGGATTCCTGTCGACGGTTTAGTAATTACTACTGTCTGCTGGCATTCGAGACAGATTTGGATAACAACCTGGATGGATATACAGTACGATGGAATGAAAGACTGCCCTTTTTCGATATCGAGTTCAACAACAAGGTATGAACGAATAATTAACCTGCGATACAGTGCTGATTTAAATTATCCGGACAAAATGAAAAAAAAAACTTGAAATTTGAAAAGCGTTTTGTTTTCAAATTGGGTTGATTCTAGTCAAAAAACGATGAAGACTAATCTTAATCTTGCTTAATGATGAAGGCAAATCTCGAACTAATGTGGCTTAATTTGTTTTGAAAAAATCTAGCCAACATTTTTAAACAAAAACGATCATTTTGGCTTTTTTCAGTCAATCAAAATTTACGCAAGAACTATTCGTTCAATTCTTACAGAACTATATCAGTGTCCTTTTAAATTGTGTTGCGCTTTTAAGTAAATTTAAGTAAAGTGTACCCTCCCTCCTGGAACCTGATCTAAACTACATTTTATGATTGGATAAATTAAATGTTTTACCAATGTAAAGTATTTAATATTAACCAATCATGATCCATCTAACTAACAACCCACTTATTTGTAAGTGCTGAAGTTACTTGTAATTTCAGCACCAGAGAGATTTGAATTTAACTTAGAAATTAGTTGGACTCTCCCGAGCACTTCAGCAGCCGCAATAAACCAGTATACCCTAGATCTATTGAGCCTAGCAGAGACTAGTTAAACAACCTGAGACTAGATAGTATAAGAGTAAGATTAGGATCGGTATTAGACTAAGAAGTTGCACGAATCTATCCGGCCGAAAATAAGATAGCGTGACGAGCAGACGGTGTACCCTATCCGAAATTACTCTATGAGTTATACACTCCAGACATAACTCATCTGGTGCGACCATAAGTCTCGAACAAGACCTTACTAGATTAGAATTAACCAAAATTAGATTAGAAATTAGACAAAAACATTTACAAAATGTTATACGACAATAATTTAATTGAAATGTCTCTCCGACTCAATAGATCAGAGCCAATATTCCGAACCATAATAGAACTACCCGGAATTGGAAGAAGACCTCGAACCAAAGACGACATACGACAAAGTAGAAACTTGCCGTATAGTTATATGATAGTTCGGCAAAAGCCAGAACAAACTTTTATATTTCGAATACTACTTGCAATGAATTTAGATTTCCATTTGCAAACATAAAACCTTGAAGTTAGTCTTCAAAATCATTTCAGGCGCTAAACAAAATTAATATTATACAATAACGATTGATAAAAAGATCTAAGATCGTTTTCCTAAAACTCTGCAGTATTATACAAAACATGTTTGAAAAATATTTATTGGAAAATAAAAATAAAAATTAGTAGCATGACAATAAATGGTTAGTAATCATAAATCATCTTGTTGTTCCAGCTTCATCACCTAAAACATAACAGCAATCATCAACTCACTAATATCATAAAACACTAAATCTTTCCTTTACACAAATTTAAAACTTTATTAAAACTTAAAATCACTTAATTTAAAATCAGATCATCAAGGCTTATCCTTGGATCTTAAATCATTTTCTACTTAATTAAAATCTCAAATTTGATCATCAAGGCTTATCCTTGGATCAAACAGAACAATTTTGTTCTCCCCCACCCACTTAATTAGTGTCTAACGACCTCAAACGTCGATTCACTACCCAACCCTTTCTAAAGACCCAAGACTAATAGAAATTTTTAAAACAAAACTAATCATTCAAATTAGGATAAACAGTGAAGAACTTCGGTTATTCATCCTTCACTTGATCCCCCCTCTTACCAGACCCAGGATAAATCTTAGACTTAGTAAGTTTAAAATAGTATCTAACGAACTACTCGCGTTCTAATTATACCTGAACCTTGTGGATCGATTTACTATTCTCCAACCCTTGAACACAATCACTACCCCTAAGTAAGATTAAGTAAGTTAACACCTTAGCTTATACTAGTCACGAGAAAGTAAAAATCATTCTTCGGAATCGATATACTTTTCTCTCCAACCCTGAACAAATAGACCCAGGTTAAGCTAACCAAAAAATCGTAAGAACTAACAGTTTAAGAAAATAGAAATCATTTAACAACTTTTGCATCCGTCATTCTAAACCTTATGTCATTTAAAAACCTAGGAAATAAACAAACAATCATTTTACACAATTGTGAAATAGATAACAAAAAATACGACCTTGTAATCACACCTCATACACAAACAGTTGGATACATTCGCACAAAACGACAAACACTAAAGAGGAAAATAATAACTAAACAAAGACAAATAACACGAAAAAGATTTTCAAAAAATCGAAACGCATTTTCAGAATCAGAAACCAACAGTTTAGACGAACTTTACAAATTAAAAGAATCAATAGATAAAAATTACCCACAACACGATCAATTATATTTTTCTGACTCAGAAACAACTTCAAATTCATCACAAAGAGGAAAAAGAAGAATAAAAAAGCAGTATAAACACAAACCAGTACATTTATACAATTGGAATCAACCAATTCGACACATTAATAATTACATATTAACAGTCATCGAACGGAAAAATGAGTTCAACACACACCCCAGGTGACGAAACTCCAGATGACGATGAAATCTTTCCTTTTATAGTAGATGCAGATACTGATAGAGGACAACACATATTTTGTCAAAATTTACTCGTAAATTTATTTGAACCCGGAATTAGTCCATGTAAAACAGAGTTCCCAGATGTAAAAATCAAAAGACAAATCATAGATCACTACTTAAAAGATATATGCAACATAACACAACAGTATGGAATCTACTCCATAGAATTCACCTCACCAAACCATAATAATAGAAGATATACAATTCAAACAGACGATCTTGATTTAGAATTTTCAAAAGTTTTTTCAGAATATATAAAAAGCATCCAATATCATAACTCACAAAGAGCAAACTCCATATTCACCAATGAAGTTTTCGCAATAATATATAGTTATATTTCGATATTAGAAAACGAAATCCCAATAACAAATGTCTCACCGACAGAAACATCTAAACATTTGAAAGTACGACATGAAATCACACTACTCTCTAGTTATTTAAACATCATTAAAGAAAATTTCACGAAAGACGACGTTTCACAACATACAAAACACGATCTACAAAAATTTTGGCATGGTTCATAATAGATTATTTTACACACAATATTGATTTAATTGCACAAGCAAGAAAAAATTTTAGACCCCAAAACTCGAACGATGATACCGCTATCACAGAACAGTCAGATTATGTTTGGGACCCCGAATGGTCTCATCCCGCATTTATAAGCTTCCCACAATCAATCTCAAGTCAAGCAATAAGTACGATATCTTACATAAGAGATTATGTAAAAGTAATACCATTAACCATTGATGCAACACCATTAAACTATAATACATTTTTACCCGATACACAAAATAATAGTTTAAACTCTACAGTTATACACAATGAAAACCTCAATGGAACTAGGAATCTTACTCAACAAGATATCCAGACACCATCACACTTCATAAATGAAGAAATTGTACACACAACAACTACACAACAAAGTATTTCACCAATACGCCCAAATTTAACAACACCAAGAAACACAAATCCTTCACAAACACAGGTAACCTTACAATCAACCGTTAAACCTTCGGTTGCCCCTAAATATTCACATATGGATTACCAAACATACAGACCCATGACAATACCATCAAAAACACGCAAAACATTCACCAGAAACAACTTTGCAGACCATAATTATAATTATACACATCCATCAAAAACAAATTATCAACCACAAAGGAATTTTAATCAATATACAAAACCTCGAAACTGGGATAACCCAACGGCCCAATATAATTACAAAAATTTTCAACCAAATCCTCCACAGGATCGCAGTGAAAATTACCCATTTTTTCAACAAAATAAAAATAAAAAACAAACATCTTATCAAATGGATTATTTATCCTCATATGACGATTTCTTACAACCAGATATATTTGCACCAAATACTCAAGAATATCGTAGACAAGGAATACAGAAAACACGTACAAATCATAGGAATTTTTCTCCACAATCAATAGATGCACAACATCAGCAACCAATTCAACAACAAAATCCACTTAATACACAATCTTTTCAACCAATTCAACAACAAAATCCAATGACTGCACACTCGTATCAACCATCACAAATGCAAAATGAAATACCACTCCCATATTATCTTCAACAACATGAAATAACAAGAAACCAACTTTCAAATTTTTCCCAAATGCCAAATGCAGCAGAATCATTACAAATGACAATGAATCCATACCTAATGGGTGGATCATCAATAACATCAAACAAACCTTTAATGGTTTTCACAGGAACAGACCCTGAATACTCTGTAGAAGATTACTTAAATGCAGTAACAGCAAATTTGATTTTAAACATAGGACCTGAACCAATTAATACGCCACTACATCAAAACTGGATACATCGACGCACAGCGTTGATACAAACAACCTTAGATGGCGCAGCCCAAAAATGGTTTTCAGTACTACCTCTAGAAATAAAATCAAACTGGAAAAGATTTACACAAGAATTTTCAAAAATGTTTGACTCCGAAAGAAACAAACAACAACAAAGAGTTTTATGTAATGAAATTCGCAGATTACCAAACGAAACCATCAAGCAAATAGCAGTACGAATCGAAACACTAGTTCGAAAAGCAAATTCACTAAATACACATGACTATAAAAACACAAAGATGACAGAAATCTTAATGATGACCTTAACACCACAATTAAGGAAAATAGCAATAAAAAAGAGAGCATCCCATCCTTCTTCAATTCGAGAACCCGATTTAGATTTTCGAAAACTAGTAGACAAATTAGAACAAGCAGAAATCACGATGAAACTAGAAGAAACGGAAAATCTAAAATTACAATACGTTAACAGAATTGAAACGACTCCCACTAATATTAATAATATACAGGAATCAGAAACAGACCTCGTTGAAAAAATCACTGAAATACTCAATATTTACGAAAAGAACCCGAACTTTAAAGGCAAACCATCTTTCAAAAAATGGTGTAATTATTGCCG